AAATGCTTATAGTGAAACCAACAAAAAGGTGTTATTTCAGAGCTCCAGATTTAATCAGTGCTTTTTGCCCTAAAAATATTCATTTGAACATAAAAGAAAAATTTGATCTGGCTCTTATGATTCTGCATATACTGACTTTCACCACTTAATCCTGGCTTCAGCCTTACTAGGCTGAATTTTGTAACAGGAACATTGAATCTTGAATCGGGACAAGGATGGCCAAGAGAGTTGGTCTGGACAGGCCAGTTTTAAGAGGTTTCCAAACAAAGAACATAAACAGTGGCATGTGCTACTCAGCAGGAGTTCTGAACTCAAAGGGGTTTGGTTGTCCCCTGCCAGCAGCCAAGGATGATACAACCATTCCTTCACCCCCTGTTCCCAGCTGGGCAGCGGAAGAAGAGAAGAGAAAAGCAAGAAAACTCACGTGTCAGGGTAAAGACAGTTTAATAAGGAAAGGGGAATTAAAAAGCAAAATGAAAACACAGGTAACTGCCACCTCCCACAAGCAGGCTGATGTCCAGCCAATCTCTGAGCTGTGGTGATTTTGGAAAGACCCCCAACCACCCCGGTGTGACTGCTGAGCATGACAGTCCATGGCAGGGACTGCCTCTCTGGCCCTCCTGAGTCAGCTGTCCTGGCTGGGCCCCCTCCTGCATCTTGTCCATCTGTCCAAAAACACACGTGTCACGTACAGAATTGTGCAAACTGCACGTGAAAGAAAAAGATACAATCACAAAGATTTATTCTGGAATTTTTTTTTTTTAGCCAGTTTTGAGGAATACATATTTCTTCCTCAAGAGGTAATTGGTCAGTGTTCTGGAACTTTTGAAAGCAGTATTTACCTAAATAAGAAAACCACATTAAGACAAAACATTCAATTGAAATCAAGGTAGTATTTGGCATTCAGCCATTTTACAGCCATACTCTCAGTTACAGATGCTATTGTTCAGTCAGATTGTGGATACTGTTGAATGTGGGTAAGTGGGATTTGTTCTTATTTTAAAACTTGCCAGAAAGTTCACACAAATGAACTGCAGTCAACTGCATCTGAGTCCAATTAAATGGAGTTTATTGTATTAAAAGAACTGGATGGTTTGGATTTTACCAGTCATATCTGTAGACAAAACCTAAGCTTTTGATATTGTTTGCTAAGTTTTCAAAGGCACATTTTCTATCAGATAACAAACATTCTTTGTGATGTCGACCCTATTTTCACTCACTACAATATTTGCACTCTCTCATATTTTCTCTCTTTCAAAGAAAGTCAACTCTATCAAAATCCAAGTCCTCTCTTCAGTTTCTGTTTCCATTTGCTCTTTTTCAAATGAACAATGAAAATTTCTTTTCTTCTCAGTCTTTGAACTATGAGGCAAAGGCGCAGGTAGGAGATTATACATATAATGGTGTTTTGTTTCCTCAAGAGTTGGCTGAAACAGAAGCATTTTGGACATGGTGAGAAATTAGAACTTACAGAAGAAACCACTACAGCAAATAGTATTTTACTTTTGCTTTAAAAACTTTCACATTTCTTGGAATTAATATAAAATAAAATGACTAGGAATATCTTAATTCAGAGATGGAAATGTATATATTGACTGAGTACCAGAAAAATTACATACAGATCCTCTCTGCTTAAGGTCGGTTGAATTAATGCACTTGTAGGGCTTTAGATTTCTAATAGCTTTTTTCAGTCCTCTGAGGAGATTCATTTTTTAAACCAGTGCTTTTGGATGGTTCATATGTGTTAATGTAGAATAATTCAGTGAAATGTGAATCCTACACTTGCACTCAGGTTGAACTTAAGAGTTCCGTGAGGTGAAGGACAAGATAGTCTCTGTTTTTCAGTATAAATGAAACCATTTTAGCACAAACCTCCATCTTTTCATCAGAAAACTTGTTATCATGTGGCTCACAAAGTTTAACAAGTTGCTGTAGTTGCTGACAGGGTAACTTCTGGAAGTGCCAGACCGGGTTTTAACTATGTTCTTTTATTCCAAGGAATTTGTCCCTTACAAATTGTCAGGCTTCCTTTGTACTTTTCCTCCTTTTTCTAGGGAACCGTTTTGCAATTCACTGGTTACTGTGTAACCTAAACTATGTTAAGAGTAAACCTGTCATTTCCCCCATCACCTGAGAGCTCTCATATACACATTTGACATGACACGGATATTTCCCATTATACAAATTAAGATAAGCTTCTCACTTGCTGCGTTTTTTAAAATAAAATTTTGTAGCAATTTCTTGCTGCTACTCTGAGCTACAGTTTCATGTATTGCAATGATATATCATTGGTGTGATCAAGAAGAGTTTTTCCTTAACTTTATTGCAAAGTAATTTGATTTCCGCACTGCTTTTCTTTTCCCTGTAGTCTTTTTGAGAATATTAAAAGATATTAAAAGTTACTTTTTCTTTTTTTTTTTTTTTCCAACTGAGATGTTTTTTTGGCTTACATTTTACATTAAAAAATTGTTCAAAAATTGTTTTTTCTAATTCAAAGTGATGTTTTTTACATTTCAATTTTACTATATGCAGTGGCATTTCATTATTTGGTTATAATTTTAATTTTAAGTTCTAAATTGTTGTGAGACTTTTCACACCACATAGTGAATGCCAGATATCAGCCTCAGGTTAGTAAATATCCCTCTGTGTTTCAGAAGTGAGGAGCTACTTTTCAAACACTTTTGACTTCGCAAAGTGTTCTGTGGAAGCCACGGGAACCATGGATCCTTCTTCTGTCCCTTCCATTTTTCTTTTTCATTTGTGGTATTAGTTTGTTTAATTTGACAAGTTCTAATGACCAAAATGTGATGCTGAAAGGCTGAATAATAGCCCAGCTGATTTTTGTCCTTCTTGGAAGAGAAATGTGCCAGAGACAAGCTGTCCTCTCTGGCAATCTTATTAGAGAGATTGAGAAACGAATGGAGCTATTAGAAAAACCCAGTTAGGATGTATATGTGAGGAATTATGGCTCTGCCCACGGGGGTGAAAAGCAATGACTCCATTTAGATTTTCAGAATTATGGTTTCTAGAAATGTCGTAGAGGAGTAAAGAACTTTCCATCTTCATCGTTCATCACATAATTGGCTGAGCCCCTGTCAGGGTTCACACGACTCCCAGTGTTGGCGTCATTAGTCTCAAACTTCCAAGACAAAGATAAGATTTCTGCTATGACATATAATCAAAAAGATATTACTTTTTAAAGATAAATAGTTCATTCTGTTCTCTGATCTGGATCTAATAAACTAAGATCAAAAGAAAGCCATTTTTTGCTAGTTTATGAAATGCTACTTTTGGAACAGGAGTCAAAGCTTATTCTGTCTCTTCAGTGCTGCAATTCTCCGAACTGGCCCTTTAGCAAAGATTATCAGTTGGTCTTATTTCAAGATTGTGTTTTAGAATTATTGATTTCTGATAAAAGAACTATTCACTTGCTGTCAAAAAATTCAATACAATTTGTTTTTAGAGTGCTCTGACTTCCTGACAAAGCCCTCATGTTTTATATATATATAATGTAAATATTCATTGTAATTGAACAAAATAGACAAATAAATAGATAAAAAGGCTTAGATTCCAGTACCTTTTTGATTGGTCTACATCCTGATAGGGCTGCAGGGGGGAGTTTTTATTGCAATATTTTTTCCCTTTGCTCACCTAATAGTTTTACTGAGCTGCTATTTTTTTATTTCTTATGGGGTTTTTTGTTGGTTTTTTTTTTTAATGTACTGTATTCACTAATCAGTAAATAAAAAATATAAAAGTAACTTAAAATGAATTAGTGTGTTAAATCTTAAAACAGGTATATTCAAAAAGGAAACAACTTGACTCAGTGGTTTTAATAGTTTTGATTGTTTTAGGTTTAATGAATGTGATTTATTTTCATAGTGTTGTTGAAATAGATCTTTTCATAATGGTTAACTGATAAGAAAGATTATCATTCCACCAGGGTAGTGATGACCAGTGTTTAACCAAGATGGTTCCAGTACTTCCACATTTCTGTTTGAGGGCTCAGCTGCAATTTCAACCATGTTTTCAGGCTAATTCCACCTTTCTGACTTTTCTTGTGCATCAGCTGTATCTTTACTGTCAAACACTGATAGAGTTAATACTTGGCCAAAAGATTTGGCTGTGGCTGAAAGATTTATATCATCCAGTTTTAAGCTTTGTCTTGCTCGTTTGTGGGTTTAGCTCCCAGTATTGCATTCAAATAGTTTTCTGGGATCTCTGCCTTGTACTATAAATGAAAGTGAGTCCTGCACCTGCTGCTCTGAGTGTTCTTATGAGCTCTTGTTGCATTATTTGCAAGTTACTGGAATATAAAAGACATGTAGGGCATAAGGCAGGAACCACTGCAAAAGTACATAAGTTTAAGTACTTTTTGAGCCCCCATTCTTTTTGTTCAGAAAGAAACAATCTCAGTTAATACTGCATTACTTGTTTATGTTTTGTACCTTATGTAAAAGACCTCTTTTAGCTTCTGTTTCACCATTTGATGCTGATTCCACTTTTTTCTTCTGCTCTGATTGTTTCCAGTGTTACTTACAAGGCATGTTATTACAGATAAACACCATAATTAGTGGGTAAATGATAAGGTTTAATTTTATTCTGAGCCCACAGGGCCTGAATTAGAGAATATTTGAAGAATGCTGACAAATTTCCTATTTTTCAAATGTCATTTTGTTGAATAATGAAAAGAAACATTAGGGAGGCCAACAATAGAAATTATTATAGTTCATTATATAGTTTGTAATAATCTTTGTAGTTAGTCTGCAACACTAGATTTTGAAGTTCGTTGAGTGCTCTTCTTCTGATTACTTTATGTTTTATGTCTAACTTAACTCTTGTTGGTAGCCTAACTGGAGTTTCTTTTGAAGAAGGTAGGGACACTTATAGTATCAGAAAAATATATTGCAATATTTAATATATTTTAAGTTTAAAATTGCTATTTTAATTTATTTACTTTCATACATTGAGTTTCAATTCTGGTTTTTATTTAGTTTTGGGTTTAGTAAGAAGATAACTGTCCCAAGACAAACATTCTCATGGATACATTAGAGTATTTTAAATGGTATATTACTACAGTAAGGAATGGAAGGACAATTTCAGTTTGACTCTGGTGGGTAAGTATTCTTCAGCTTGTTTTCAGATGTTGAAAAGGTTTTAGTAGCAAAATTTATGGAATTCATACAACTGCTGTTGAATATATTGGTTTAGAAGGACAGGATGGCAATTAAACTTAGATGATTGTTGATTATAGTAGAGTTAAGTTGTTATAGCAACTGGAGCTCTCATCTTTCCACTGTGCACAGAAAAGCACATACTAAAGAAAATAAAGGGAAGAAGACCTATCTTTTCCTTTCTCCCAATAGTCTGCAACATAATTAACATAATTGATATTCAGAATTTTTCCTTTTGCAGTTTCTAGTACTTAAACATTACTATGCAAATACAATTAATTCTGCAATCATCAGACTTAATTCACTGAAATAATTCCATTTTTTTAGTTAATACTGGATTTAAGCTCTCTACAATCTTAACCATTTAATTAAAAATATGTAATAATTTCAATCCTTTTACAATTTATAGGAACATTAGGTTTGTTATTTTTCATTTCTTTTCAAGAGTTAAGGAGGTGTAGTGCTGTACTCAGTCATACTGTTTTTAAAACTGGGTATCTTCTGCTGATTAGAAACCATAGCACTGCAATGAGTCAATGGCAGTTATTGGGAAAATTCGAGGCAGGAATATTTTTTGTGTGTTCAATATATTGGATTAGATTAAAAGGTGTTAAAATGCAAGTCCAAGGCTTCTGTTCCAATTTATGCCAGCTGATTCTTCTGAGAGCTTTGCTGCTTTTCATGAATCTATGGGTGTTTAGAGAAAAGTTTCATAATCAGCTGGCAACACTTTGAATGCTCTATGTGCGTGTGAAACAATTGAAAATTAGGAAATCTTAAATTTATTTCCTGTTCTGCCCCGATCTGAGGTGGTAGCTAAGTTAGAGATGAGGAAAAGCCTTGAATCACTATCCATGGAAACCTTAGATACTGCAACATGTGTGTCCCCTTTTTTTGGCTTTTTTTTTTTAGTTTTTTTATCCCTGCAGACAACAGAATCCTGCTGCTGGATTGTCCCTGATTTACTGCCAACCCTCTTGACCTGTCCAAAATTAAAAGAACACAGCTGCATGTGGAATAACAACAATTTTTTAATAACATTTTCATAGAGATGTTTCTAAACAACTCCTTTCCTTGAATGAATGACACGATGGAATAGTACCAGTTTCCTTCTCAGTTGGTCATCAGAAAATGTGAATGCTGGAGTCTGTTAGGCACAGGAAATTGTGTTTGGACTTCTGCCTTCATTAGGTTAAAAGAACAGGAACTTTTATTCTTCATTTTATATCAACTGCAAAAAAAAAAAAAAAGTGTTGTTTTAAATTTAGAGGTCAAGAGAAATTAGTTTGATGTACATGAATTGAAAAGCACTCAGGGTTTTGATTTTCTTAATAACTCCCAATTATTTGTTTTGAATATGTTTGCCATTTCTAAAGAGAACACTTTTAGGTTAGATAGAGCTGTTGAGAACTGAAATGTCAACTAATAGTTTTAATTACTTGCTCAGGATCCTTTCAAAGGTAGTTTGAAAGAAAATGAACACACACTCTCCATTAAAACAGTTGAGGTTTAAATGTCTCCAAATAATGTCTAATTTCAAGTTGCAGAGTTTATGTAAAAAAATGAATAGCCCTTTTTGTGGAACTAGCTCTGGCAAAGGTAGGCTGTGCCATTTGCAATACCTGGCAGCAGAAGAGTAGTTAAGTCTGACCATTAGAAGCCCTTATCATTAGAGTTTGCTGTTTAGCTATAAAAATTTGCTCAGGGCTAAAAATTAGGCTCAGCAATTCTAAACATATGAGGTTTTAAATTACTATTAAAATGTACACAAAAAGCAAGTTTGATTACAAATCCATTACATTGATAGTTCTCTTCTAGTTCAATATTTTATGTGCTATGAGTTGAGTATTCTGAAAGTAGGTAGGCAATGTTTCTGGTCACTAGGTTAGAGCCTATTTTTTTATCTTCTCCTAGTTTTTTTCAGATCTTTTATGGAGTTTTAAATTACATCTGTGCAAAGTTAAAGTGTTTTATTTCCTCAGATTTAACCTTATGGTTTTCATTTTTTAATAACTTTCATTTTCTTGAAGTATGATATCCTCATCCAAGGCCATCTGCTTCTTTTCCTGCTCTTTTTGAAAGAACTTCTCTGTTTTGGGCAGCTTGCCTTCTGCTGACCAGAGGGTGAAATGATAGAGTTGTCCTGGTTTGACTGGATCCCCAATCCAAATCCCTTTGTAGTGCAGGTGTGTCTCTTTAGCAGGTGCAGCTTTGTTCAGCTTCACTTTGTAGCCACAGCACTATTTTGTAGAGAATCTTTCCAAAATACAATATTTTCTAATCTCAGAGATGGGAATGAAGTGAAATGCAAGGAAAGATTTAGAGCTGTAACATTACGTAGGAAAACAGTTTCTGTGTTTCCAAGGATTTTGGTGTTTCACAGTGAGAGTGATTGGTTGGAACCCAAACTGCAGAAATTCCCTGGGCAAGAATTTCTCCACTGGCTGTTGGAGGACTGCAGGCCTGGGAAATGCAGGATCTTGTCAGGCTGCCAGTTTGGCAGCTAAAATGAGCCAAGCTTGTAACCTCACAGGGATCCATGTAGGTCTCAATAACTTCTGAGCCAGCAGAGTCCCACAGTCCTTGAGCCTGCATCCCTCTCCCACTCATGACAGGTTCTGCTGCTAAATTCCTGCTGCTCCTCAGTGCTAAACATTTTATGTATTATTTAAATTTAGTACAGTGAGAGGGAGAGTTTCAAAATAAAGGACACCTACCTCTCCTTTGAAGTGCAGATTTGGCAGGACACATTGTGATGGCCATCTGTAGAAGTAGGATTTCACCTCTGCTTTTTCTTTTTGGAAACTGGAATAGTCACCTGTACAAACTGTCTGAAATAAATCAGGTCCCACACAGCACAAAATCTTCCTGCTTGCCATCTTTCTAGTACTGAGATTTAAATGTCTGGATGTTGCAGATTTATATATTTCTCAATGTTGCAAATAATTATTTTAATTAATCTCATTTAATTAAACATCTGACAACACTATAGCTGTCAACATACATGAAAGACGTTATAGTACAGGCAGTATCCACATTTAATCCCTCAGTATTTCCCTTTGGAATTCTGGGTCTGCATCCACTTGACTCTTATCTCAGTCCTATCTGCACCAGCTTCTATGGCTCTACTTTTGTACCTCAGCAAGTATTAGAGGTAGATTAAAAAAAGCACTTCAAATTTTTAAATAAAAATAAATACAATAATAAATAATTTAAAAAACACTTCAAATTTTATTTGCAGTCTTTGTCCGTGAATATGAAAATGCAAACATTTATCATCAATATTGTAATATGCCTTCAATCTTCCAGACAATACTTGGGATTTCATATGGCCAGAGTTTTTCTGTTGAATGGGCAGAAACTTCTTCAGTGCAGGTGTCACCCTGTGTCACTGTGTCAGCACAGTTTGGGTGGGTTCACAGGGATGTACAATTCTCATCTGGTTCTGATGTGAGAGTTCACATCCTTTCAGGGCCATTTTCAGTGAGGCATTGCAACAACTGCATTTGATATTTCACTTGACTGCTTTATTAACACTTTATCAGCCTTATCAACATCAAGAAAATACATGGAAAAGTCCTTAGTTCTCTCACTGTGATCAGAAAAAATAAGGAGCATTCTGCTTTACAAAGGAGACAACAATTAGCTGGGTGTGTAGGCTGGAAATGGTGAGCTCCTTTCTTTCTCCTGCTTTGATGAACCAAAAGAAAACATATTGTATTGCTGGTTTAAAGTCATTTCAATTCAGAGAGAATTCTCAGTAGTTCTCACAATTATCCAAGTTATCTGAGGCTACAGTTATTCCCTAAAACTAGGAAGGTGTCTGGGGCAGTGTTTTTCACAAATGCAGACCCTGAAGAGTTCATTTATCTCCAGCTTTTTGATTTGCAAAAGTAGCTTTGAGAGTTGTATCCCAGTTTATGAGCTGCAGAAATGCTGCACTGCGTACTGCATGGTTTCTTAGATGACTTGAAATAATGGTTGGTTATTTTTTTGGGGTTGAGATGAATAGGAGACAAACCCATCCATTTTCATGTCTTTTTCAGATGATTAAATCCAATCCTGAGATGTAGATTTCCTCGGTATTTGAAGGGATAATCCACCCTTGCCCTCGTCCCAGGTGGTTTTGGGCATAGTTGAACAAGTTAGTGAAGGCAGAGGTCACAATTTTCTATTGACATTCCTTTTTCATTTCCAGGTAATGTTAAGAAAACAATCTCTGGTGAAATTGCTCTTTTTTGTCATCTCAAATAAGTTACTTCTTTTCTTTAAAGGTTTTGGTTAAATTTAGTGCAGATGCCCATTGAAGTGTAGAAAACAGACCATGTATTCTAATTGGGAATTTTGTACAGAGCTGCAAAAGTTCAGATAAAGGGAAGAGAGAGAGAGAGCAATTAACCTCAGCTTGTTCTGTAGAAGACACTGAGACCAAAGGAATGGAATTGGTTTTGTATTTTTAGACTGATTTGATATTTTCAAAATTGTAAGCAGGCTAACTAAAAATCTGATGGACATTTAACAGAGTTTCATTAATGTCTTATTTTGGAGTAGTGCTAATTGAGTACACAATTTTTTCTACTACAGGCCTTAATTGATTTTATTCTGGAATGCTGTAAAATCTGAAGAGACCCGATGTATTTCATGTTTTTGACTATTTGAGAATGAGACATGCTTGTTGACTATGTTCTCTGTGGGGTAGCAAACCAGAAATAATTAGCCTCCAGAAGATGAATTCTGGGAAATATATTTTTTTTAAAATACTTTTCAAAGTAGAGTTTACAGTCTAGTTGTTATATCTTTCCAATTCTAACATAATACTCCATAGTAATTTATGTATAACTTTTTAGATTCAGTCTTCTTTCTGATCAACCAGAAAAATTGGTGCAGGTCCACCAAATTAATTACCTACCTTCACATCAGCCAAGCCTCCTTTCATATCATCC